GTATATATATATATATATATTTATATATATATATATATATATATATATATATATATATATATATATATATATATATATATATTAATGTTTATTTTAATTTTAATATATTAATTTTACCCTCCTTGTAGCAGCAGGCTATAAGATAGTCAATGTAGAAACACTTCATGCATGTTTTAAGAATATATTTTAATAAAACAAAAACACTATTAATTTAAAAAAGTCTAGTCATCATTATTACGGTTTTTTGAGAAATGATAAAACTTAATGTGCTTTTGCATTAATTTAATTGTTTTAGCTTTTTGACAACAATAAAATGCAAGTTTATTGTCGAAGTCGCAAAGTTGTTACTAAAAGAGACTTTTTACCATAAAAGTCTCTTTTGATTATGAGATGAGGAGATATATATACACAGGCTTTGGAGGGAAACAAGAGCTTTAGCTCTCGCTCTTGCCCATACTTCCCTAAAACAGTTTACAGAAGCAGTTTACGGCTCTCACAAAAGTATAATTTTTCTCACATAAGTATAATAATCATTGTAACTAAAATAAAAAACACAATGTCATTTTAAAAAAAATAATTGCATAATATACTGCAATGCTTTTAAAAAAGCTTAGTTGCTGCAAAAATAAGTTTAAATTAAAAGTGATCACCGATTTAAATGAGGAGCAGCTCCCACAGCTCTCCAAGTTTGTTTTAGGAGAGCTTTTCTTAGCTCTCGTGCTCATTTATTCCTGCCGAGGCCTATATATATACATATATATATATATATATATATATATATATATATATATATATATATATATATATATATATATATATATATATATATATACATATATATCAACCCTCGAAATTAGGAAAAATGAGGTCAGCAATCTATTGCCGACCTTAAACTGTTAGGCGGTAAAGAAAATTTGACCCAAATGGGTTACCATAAAACATAGAAACTGAAATAATAACAAAGTTGTTTATAATTTTACAAAATTAGGTTCAATGTAACTTGTATAGTTTAAAACTAGTCATTGGAGTGACACCTTAATAAAATAAACAAATAAAGCAAAAAACGAAAAGGAACAAAAAATAAGAAATAATTTGAATATTAGCAACAAACATAAAAAACATCAATAATAAAAATAATTTGTAATAAGACCACAAAATAAATACACATCAACATAAATAATACACAAATGTACATATCAATATAAACAATGTACAAAACTACGCAACAAAACATAGAAATACATGACAATAAAAATACACAAAATATACAAAAATACACAACAAACAATTTACAAAAATACGCAAAAGTATAAACAATATAAATTTAAAAAACTTTGAAAATTATATTTTAATTTTCTTTTACCAACTTATTTGTTAAAATTTAAAAGAATACAAATGTTTGTGATAAATTTTTGAATCACAAACATTTTTATAACTTTGCGGTTAGTTCGTTAATTAATGTTTTTCTTCAATTTTATTCTTTAAAATTTTCATAGTTTTCACTATGAAAATTTTAAATAATGTAAAATTTGTAAAGATTATTGCATATAATTATATGTATTATTTACTATATATATATACTATATATATATATATATATATATATATATATATATATATATATATATATATATATATATATATATATATATATATATATATATATATATATTATTACTATATATAATATATATATTATTACTGTATATATATATATATATATATATATATATTATTACTATATATTATATAAATATATATATATATATATGTATATATATATTTATGTATATATATATGTATATATATATATATATATTTATGTATATATATATATGTATATATATATATATATATATATATATATATATATATATATATATATATATATATATATATGTGTGTGTATATATATATATATATATACAGTAATAATATATATATTATATATAGTAATAATATATATATATATATATATATATATATATATATATATATATGTATATATATATATATATATATATATATATATATATATATATATATATATATATATATATATATATAAGTTTTCAAATAATTTTTCGTTTGAAAACTGAATGAAAACTATCAGAGACATATAACAATTTAATCTGATATTTTTCTGATTCTATTCTCTGGTTATGGATGCATCAAAAATCTATTATTAATTGTTACAATAAATTTGTACAAATCTGTTAACAGTTTTTTTGTAATAATGAGGTTAACTTAAAATTTAATGATTACATAAATCTACTTTACTGGTAAAGTTTTTTTTATTTGTTTCAGAAAATTTAAGTTTTTTTCAGGAGTTTTTAGACAAGTTTTCTTGAACATAAATAAAATCAAATTTTATTTAACATGCATTTTACACAACTTAATTTATTAAGTCCAAGAAACTGATATTATCTTAAGTGTCATATGTTTCCTTGTTTCCATAAAAACTTGGCAAACACTTGTATAAATAATTTCTCCAATGTTTTTAAAAAAATATTTAATTGAAATGTTGAAATTAAATTAGATTTATTTTTTATTTTTTATAATAGACATCATCTTTATAAACAACTTGTAAGCAGATTTTTTATATATAGCAAACTGGTTGTTTAAAATCTTATTATCAAGGTTTATCAAGGTTTTTAAATTATTTTTAAGAAATACATTTAAATTTTTTATTTAATTTAGTTCTACCCCTTATATATTTTGCTTATACTGTTTTTATTTACTTAAAATTTAAACTTAAAAATTCACTTAAAATAACTTGGAAATCCCTATTACTAAAAACAATTTAAAATACCCTACATACAAAAATCTCCTTTTTATTTTCAATAATGTAAACACTTTTTTATATATTATTATAAAAGCTTTTGCTTTACTGTTTCATACTTTTAATATTAACTTATAATTATTTATTAATTTCATTTCATTAAAATTGTTGCAAAATGTACATATAATATATGATCATTTGCACTGATGGATTTTTAATTTGATCTTTTAATCTTTATAATATACCAAATGTACCACAAATACTCATTATCAATGTATAATAATTGATTTTACATGAGTCATGTTAAGTGGCATCCACCAATGTACATTTAAAAGAAAAAAAACGATTATGTTTATATAAAGCTTTTTACTGTTTAATATTTTTGTTTGCTTAAGAATAAAACACTTAAAAAAAAGCACTTTTAAAGTATTAGTTAAACAGATATATTTAATTTATTATTTTTTGATAAAATTTAGATTTTTTATTGTTTTATTTGATATGAAGTAGTTTTAATTTTTAAAATTCTTTGTTTTTTTTTTCTCCTTACTTGTTTTGTTGTTGCTTTTAACTTCCCCCTTGAGCTAACCAAATTTTTGAATAAAATTTCATCATTAACTAAGGAAATACCAGGTTTGGTTTTTATCAGCCCACTTAAAAAAAATCTGTTATTTTGTAATTAAGAGTTCCTGTTTATTATTTTAAGCTGGGTATATTGTTTTGCTGTCAATTAAAGTAATGTTTTCATCAGATTAAATCCATTGTCCAATAACTAAGCATGATGGGATTCTTATTTAATATAATTAGTTAGGTATGAATTAAGTTATTATTTATGTGATGTCATTGTATGTTTTGAAAAAAATTAAATGTGTTGAAAGCTGCTGCACATAAAACATAAAAAGTTTTTTTATACATGATGGGTGTGAAGACTCAAAGAAAAATTCAGTTTTGCTTTGTAAGATTTATTTGCATTTTTTAAATTTTGCAAAAAAAAACTTCTTGTACAAATATTTTATTTTGATTCAAAGTTTATAATGAAAAGTTTCAAATGAGCTTTTAATAAGTTATTTTGTATAATTATTAATTACAATAATCTTAAGGATGTATTTTGAATTTTATAGCATGTTCAATAATAAGGTATGTAAAATATGTTTCATGTGAACTTGTTACAATTTATACTCGGATTATGAATTTAAAGAGAAACCATTATCTATAATAACTTATAAATGGAAAAAAAAGATTTTTTGCCACTTAACTTTTCTCTTTGATTTTTTGATTTTTATGCTTTAAAAAAAAGTTTTTTTTAAAAAAAAAAAATTATTAAGAAAAAAGATTTCTTGAAAGAAAATGTATTTTATTAATAACTATTTGAGTTTCTTTGAAAAATAAAATTTGTTTTATAAAAAAGATTATTGATTTGTAATAGTGTAACAAGAATGGTATTCTTTGATAAACACATCTATGTAATAAAAAAATTGTTGCTTTGATAAACACATAAAATAACAAAAAATGGTTACCTGTGATAAATACATATATAAAATAAGAAAACTATAACAATTTTTATTTGATTGTTTTTAAAAACTCATGCTTTAAAAGTTTTAATATTTAAATGATAAAAATGATGTTTTTTTAACTATAGGTAGTTATTTCTGTATAATATATGTTTATTAAACAATAATAAAATATTTGAATTAAATTATCTTAATTCATTGCAAACTTCAACCCAAGAATTTCCACAATAGTTAGAAAAAATGCAAAGCTATTTCAAAAAAACATCAATTCGCATGTTTGTAATTATTTTTTTTAATACAATATCAATTAAAAGAATAATTATTTGATATATGTTTTTAGTCCAATGACTTACATTATTAATAGTTCATTGTTTGCAGCCTGAACGACACAGCTTACACACACGCAATGAAGTAATGAAACCTGCTCATATCTTTCGTGATCAAGTTAACACAGTGGCACAGTGGTTTGATCAATGGAATGATATTGAACAAACTATAGCATGTTATTCATTGCTGAAAAGAATCGGTCACACACAGGCAAGATTTTTATCTCTTGTTCTTGAACATACATTTCGAGACACAGCCTATGAAGTCAATATTCTGGAAAGGGAAGCCAATGGAAAAGGTTTTAATTATTTTAGTTTCAAGATTTTTTTTCTTTTAATTTTTTAATTTTTAATGAATTTATAAAAAACAATTTAGATTTTAATGTATTATAATGTAAATCCATGTAAAAGAAGGACAGTCATACCACTCAGCTTTTTAAATTTTAACTAGTAGTATCTATCAATAATATGAAAAAATGCAAAGTTCATACTCCCAAATTTAAATGGTTTAAATGTTGTAACATTTTAAAGTTTAACTTAAAATGCTCTGTTTTTGCCTAAGTGTGGTAGTGGTGTAGTGGTAGAGCTCTCGCCTCATAAGCGAGAAGTTCTAGGATCGATTCCCACCATGTCTCTGGTAGTATCACATTTAACTTGTTTCTCTGCACAGCGGCTTTGTTCATCAAGATTTGTGTTTCAGAGTTATAGAGTTGAGAGAGGGTTTTAACCACAACTAAAAGTTGTGGTTACAACCTTCATGGGTCATTTATGGGTCTTGGGGAGGAGAATTGAATTGGAATAAAAAGTCTGCTATTATAGATTTTGTAGTGGTACTTTTTAATAAAAAATTTAAGTTCTAGTGAAAAAATATGGCTGAACTTTGCTACCTGACCATTTTTAAGGGGGCTGAATCCAATGTATAAAGGGTTTTCTATATTGGATTCAGTTATCAAAAAGTTATATTGATAACTCAATACTATATGTGTTGGGTTATCAATATAACTTTTTGATGGTCATTTATTGATTTTAAAATGGTCTAATCAAACTTCTGTTCTGTTATCTGCTATGGGTTGAGTTGTTGCTAACTCCAAAAGTTGCTCAACTCTCAATGAACAGACCCAAAAAAAATTGATAGACCTTATCTTAACATATTATCTTACTCATGTTACCAGAACAAAATTTTCTGTGACAAAAAACAATCATCAAAATTTTTAAATTGGGTCATCTTTTTTTTGTGGAGAAAAAGAACTTTTAGGTTCAGCACACTCAAAAACAGTCAGATACCAATTCTTACCCGAATTCCTCCACTAGAACTTAAATTGTTTTTTAAGAAATATTACTACAAAATCCTTTTTGGCAGACTTTGAAAACTAAGCTGAAATTCTGGCTGAATTTTAAAACCTTTTAATTTTAAACAGTTTATAGTTAGGAGCTTTAATTTTGCATTTTTTCATGTTTCATTTATAGGTACCACTGGTTAAAATTTGAAAATTTGAGGGAGTAGTGAAATTTTTTTGTCTTATTTTTAAATGGAAATACAATTAATAATAGTTTTTTATAGCTCTCAAAATAATATCGGGTTTTTTTATAGAGTTTCTTCGAAGTCTGTGCCATGAGAGAAAAGAAATAGCTGTACAACAATTACTTTTGCATTTACCTTTATTACATCCTGGAAATGATGAAGCCAGACATGAATACCTAAAATTACTTCCTAAAATTTTATCTCACTCTCTTGAATATTCTATTCACAAAGAAGAATGCAGGCAACTGCTTTCACTTGCTCTTGTCCATCCTGCTTTTGTTCCTGAAGAGCGTAATTCATTAACTTGGTGGCTAGGTTTAATTGAAGAGAAAGGAGATAGTATTAATGAAACTTGTCGCCCACCACCTGGATTTGTTAACCCTGCCTTGCACACCCCATTAACAAGCTCAAAATCTTGTCAGGTATGGGGTACTAATCATCATGCTCCTATTAAAAGTTCATATTCCCATAAACCATCAGGTCAGACTAATGGTTGGAAGGGCCAAACTCAACTTACCCATACAGACTCAGGCATTTGTACTTCATTTGATAATGGTTCAAACAACATATACAATGCTGCAGGTATTTTTTTATTATAATTTTTATCAAAATTTGTTGAAACATTTAAAGCGTGTTAAAACTTGTTTAAGGAATTTTAAAATGTTTTATTATTGAGTTGAACAATAACTATTAATTGTTCTTTTAATTTTAATTGCCTTTGTAATAAATATAAACAAGTAATAAAGTCTTTTTCTCAAGTTGAAAAATCTTCTCATTTTCTTTATTTTACTATTACTACTAGAAAGTTTGAAATAATGTAACATATTAACTTAGTTGTAACTTGAAAACATTGTGGCATGTCCAACACTTGTATATTAACTGTATGGTAACCACATTTTACCTTAATGACAGTTTAGTTAATTGTTTTTAACTGTTTTTAATTTTGATTTTCACTTTATATTTACTTAAAGTTGATGGGACTCTTTTTGTGATTTTCTCTGTGGTGGTCCTTAGGCTGATGTCTTTTATGCCTCTTACGTAATTTTCTGAATCTAGGCAAGTATCGACACTTTTTCTCAGTTCAATTTTTTATTCAGTTTCATTCTTTCTCAGTTTCAAGTCATGTCTCATTCTACCCTATGGTTTCCATGGTCTTCATATTCTGATGCTGCTATTTCTAATCGCAAGTATTTTTTTCATATTTTTACACAGACAATTCTCTTGAAAATGAGCATTTTTTTTATTATTGCATGAAATCGATGTAAAAAGGTCTTGTGCTATGATTCAATGTTCTCAAGTTTACTAAATCATATATTTTATCTCAGAAGTATTTTATCTCAAAAGTAAAATTTTAAAATATCTTTAACAGTGTCAATAACAAAAGTCTAACATTCGTCTTGATACATGGGACTGATCTTATTTCCTCTCCTAAAAATAATACTGAACTATTTGGAAAGATTCTTTCTAATTTGTCTTTTGAATCTAATGACACTCTATGCAGAGTTCAGAGAAATAAGGTAAATATTTGTTAGACATTCAAAATCCTACAGCCATTTTTCCTAGAGCCATTTCTCAGTTAAACTCTTCTATGGCTTATAGTTAAGATAACATTTCTGCCTACCTTTCACAGTCTTACAAAAAAAGTCTTACAAAAGTTTTCTCTAAACCTCTCTTCAACACTTAAAATGATCTCTTTAAACTTTAAATACTAAAAAGTAATAAAAATAATAACTGAAATCACTCAAAGTAAAATTGCAAATGCATATGTGAATTGTTCGCTGATTAACACTTTAAAACAAGGCCTGATAATATGAAAGAAGTTAAAAAAGAACTCTCGCATTCATAGTTCAATTACCAAAATATTTCAAATAATTTTCCCTCACTTAGAGTTTCCATTATTATTAAAAGTGCAACAACTTGCACCATCTTGTAATTGTGAAAGCATGATAAAAGTAGAAACTCCTCTATGGTAGTTTTTTTCTTTTTTTTTTTCTATTTAATTTTTTGTTGTAGGTTTATATTAAATATATTTTTTAAAATTCACTCAATGTACACAAACAAAACAATGTATTAGCTTTAATTTGGAGGCAATAAAGCAAGTCTGGCATTCTGGTATTCAGAAGCTCACTTTATATGGTGTATCTAGGAAAGTTTTTGTAAAAAATACACAACAAACCCCAAGGTTTTATTGTGTATTTTTTTTAAATCTAAATTAATGATCTTTCTGACAGTCTTAGCTCTAAAGTCGCTCTATTTGCTAACAACACAGCTAAATACTCCAGTTTTGACAGAAAATCTTCACTTTTTTTCACTTATCTTTAACACTTAAACTTATTTATTTTGGTAACTATTGTTACAATATTGTCGATATTTCTATATTGATGCATGGTCACACTTTCTCTGAGTGCTCTACTTTATGTCTTCTTAGATTATCATTTACCACTGATCTCATGGAAACCTTATGTACAAAGTTGGCTCCTTCTTAGGTTGGATTTCTTTATTGTGTTTACCATTTCTTCTGACTCCATTTTTTATCTGAATACTGTCTTCATATTTGGGCTTTTTTTTTCTAATAATGCCGTGTTGTAAATGTAGTTGGACCTGTTCTAGCTGCCGAGCTTGAGCAACTGTTTTATTGTTGTAAGGTTGCATTGCTTTCTCTTTTCTACAAATACTATCATTGTCCTGCTTAGACGGCCTATCATCTCTAGTTTCATGAACCAAAATTCATTATCCCTTGACTTGAACTGTTATTTATCTATTTCTTTTTAATCAGTTTTTTCCAGGGATCCCAAAAGGACTCCGGCTTTATATCTCTACTTTTTCCAAGTGTGTAGTGTCCAGAAGCTCTAAACATGTTTGTTGACTTATGATCTACTATAAGAAAAAAATTCACGAGATCTAACGACTTAAAACTTATTTTTTTCAAGCCTGGAGTCCTAGGGTCCTGAAGTACTTGCCTTCCATTATACCGAAGGACTCCAGGTTCAAAAAATAATTGTTCCTCTAACCTAAAAGTCTTAATTTTTTTCCTTTTAGTAGTCCATAAACTTATTTATATTTTTAGAGCTCCTGGATACCAAAAAATAGGATGAAGTAATCTTTGTAACTTTCAAATCCTTTTTGTCCTTTTTGGGACTCCGCATCCCTGATTTTTTCACACCAATGTTTTGGAACTCTCTCCTGTATTCATGTTTTCCCGAGTTAAAAATATACAGTTTTTTAAGTCTTCTAACAACTGTGTTCTTGCTCTTTAACAATTTTTTTTTTTTTGGTCTCGACTTAAATAGTGTCTGCTTGCAGCCTGCTTTACAGAAAATTAGTTTTTTAATAAAAAAAGTTTTTTAGTTAAATTTGTTAGTTTATTTGTTAAAAAAACTTTTTGTTTAAGAATTTATAATTTCTTTTAGGCGGTAACCAAGAAGCATTAGAAGACAAATACACGCGAGCTTACAGATCAAATTCTTTTCCTGTTGATCCGTCAAACGCACATACTACAGTTTCACCACAATCATCTGTGGATAGTGATGATGAAACTCTCAGAAAAGAAAGTACTAATGAGAATGCGCATCCAGGCATGAAAGGTATGTTTAAAGTTTTTGTTTATTATAGGTAATAATAACTAATAAATGTTATACATTGTGATGTATTATGAGCTATATTTTTTTTAGGAAATTTGTTGTTCCTTTATAATAATTTTATAATAAAACTTTATAATAAATGAATAATAAATAACCTAATTACCTCTCAAAGCTTCCTTGCAAACAGATGCATCTTTTGATAATCCATTGTCTACAAAAATAACTATTGAGTTTTAACTTTCTTTTGACACACTTCACTTTATTCTAAAATACTTCTAGAAAATTTTAATCGTCCATGAAATAGCTGAAATTTGTTTCATGGTTTGTTTATAAGGGTTTTAAACAAAATTTGGTAGTAACTCCAAAAATAATAATTACTTTCAAAATAAAATTTCTTTAAAAAATATTGTATAAAAAAATTAAAGTGAATGTTCTAAACTTACAACTTTTTGTGCTTTATGAGTTTAAAAGTTATACACATAAGTGGATCAAATAAATGAGTGGTTAAAATACATACAGTTTGCAGAGTAAAAAATAAAAAATATATACAGAAAATATTAAATATTTCTTTCTTTCCAAGCTCATTAGAAAACATTTATTTGTATTTAAGATATTCCATTGTGGCTAAAGAGTTTACGTTTACACAAATATGCACATATATTTACTGATGTTACTTATGAAGAAATGATGTCTTTTTCTGATGAGTATCTTGAAAAACACGGAGTAACAAAAGGAGCACGTACTAAAATCTTGCTCTGTATACAAAAGTTAAAAGATAGAGAAGAAACATTGGAACAGTTAGAAAAGGTAATAAATTTGAAATGCTCAAGTTTTATATTTTTAGTTAACTTTTTGTATGAAAATTTTGACTCCATGCTAAGTTGTTTTTTTCTCCCATCAAAAATTTTTGATTGGTTCCCTGCCTGATTAAAATGATTTACTAATATTATATTTCTATTATCCAAATATTGCATAATTTTCTAATTTTCATGTTTGTTTTATATTTTTTATTAAATAGGAAGTGTTGCAGCTGGGTTGCTTGCCACATGTTTTAGCTGAGCTTAAAAGTATTTTAGTCACACCAATCAAACCTCACAAAAATGAAAATACTAATGAAGAAAGTTTTAATGAAGGTATAAAAACTGATAAATGCAATAATTTCGAAGACCTTCCTTTGCAAATAATTCGTGTTATGGGAAAAGCTTGCACACAAATTTTAGTGACACAACCTGATGAGCAATGCTGTATTACATATCTTGGTCTTTTGGAAAGAGTTTTGTCTCATGAAGCTTTTTCACAAGAAGATAAACGCAGGTTTCATTCATGGAAACTTCAGTGTCAAAAACTTGCTAGAGATTTTGCTATGAATAGAAAACTTGCTGGAATTGAGAAAGGGCCAAGAAAGTGTGTATTTTTATAAATATTTTTATTTAATTTTTTTAGCATTAAAATTATATATTTATTTATATTGTATAGTTATTATTACAAATAGTTGGTATGATCCGATTGGTGGGGTTCATAGAAAGAACTCAACACATCGAATTAACCAACAAAAGGCAGGTGTATCTTATCCATTTTCTGGTGGTTCTTTAGTTGGAAGTAGTAAATCTAAATTAACTGGCTCAATTAGCTACCACCCAAACACGGTATGATTAAAAATTATTTTTTTAATCTTTTTGCTGTTGTTGTTGTTTAAGATTTTTTTCTTTATTTCTTATTTTTCATGACTGTTAATTTTTTACAATTAAGTTGAACAAAATAACACTTTATTTTTTATAATTAAGTTGAACAAAATAAAACATTTTTTTTTTTACAATTAAGTTGAACAAAATAACATTTTTTTTTTACAGTGAAGTAAAGTGAAAAGTACTAATAAAACTTTTAACAATTAAGTAAAATTAAACATAAAAATAAAATTTAAATAAAGTACATAAAATACTAAAATTAAAAATTTAACATAGAAAATATAAAATTTAATATTTAATATAAAAGAATTAAAAATTAAATTTAAAAGTTTAACATGATTTAGCAATATAACACAAAAAGTATTACATATTAACACTAAAACTAAAATAAATAAATTCAAATATTATTTCATACATATTCATAATAGTATACACATTTAAAACAAATACATACAGTATAAATACATTATAATTACTTTTATATTTTGTTTTATATAATTAAGCACAAGTTAGTATAATTAGGCAAGTGTAAGTAAAAAGTGTTGAAAAAGAGTTCAGTCATCCCTAATATATTATTGTATTATCTCTTGAATGTATATATTGTTGTATTATCTCTTGAATGTGTCTAGTCTCACAAAAGTTTTTTGATTACATACTTGCAAGATATTTCATGTTCAAAAAGTTTTTTGATTACATACTTGCAAGAATCTTGAATGTGTCTATCTCTTAAATATTATCACTTAAATATATCTGGAATATCTTTTGAATAGTTGTGATTTTTAAATTTTAAATTTTTTTTGATTAAACATAAGTATCAATATTTTCTAATGTTTATTGACAGAAATTAATAATAAATAGATTATTTTGATAATTAATTACATTCAATAAGTTTAAGAGTCTTTAACAATTAGTTTTCACTTATGGCTAATAATACTTTTTTGGCCTAATACTCTTTTAATCTGCTACAACTTGTATGCAAATATAATTTGCTAAACTTGAATTTTGCAACCATTATTGAAAATATTGAGAATATTCTGTATGATAGTTGGCAGCATGAGTTTTTTAGTCCTTTGCTTTTATAGTAGCAATTTTAGCAACATTTTACTCAAATTTTTAGCTCTATGCCTATTTTTAATTTTTAATTTTGTCTAATTTTTATTTAATTCTAATTTTTAGCCCATTATGAATCAGGAGTAAAGTAAAGTATACCATAAAGATAGTTATGCATTGTACATATTTGATTTGCTAACTTTTTTGATAGGAAAACAGTAGCTACTTACACCCAAACAGTAGCTTACACCAAAACAGTAGCTAATTACACCACTAACGCATTGTTAGTGGCATGATATTTTGTTTATGATTCTAATTGAGTAGCCGACACTGCATATAACATTCCAAAATATATGATGTAATTTATAATGTATAAAAACCTCCAAGACATGTTGTGTTTGTATTAAAGAGAATGATAAAAAAAATGTGTGGGCTTACCAATACCAAGAAAAACTAACCTTTTTTATTTTAGTTGAAGCTTGTCTTCTCTGTTTTGTTGTAGGCCAAATAGTCTTCATAATATAAGCTGCAATCTACAGACTTAATAATTTATTCAAGCATGTTTTATTCCTATGAGTTTTAGTACATGATGTCATTGTTTGTGTGCATAATAAATCTTTTAAACAAATTAAAAAATCAATTGTTTAAAATATTGATTATGTACACAAACAAATAAATGTTTTAATCAAAAATAAATGTTTTAATCAAAAATAAATGTTTTAATTAAAAATAAATGTTTTAATTAAAAAAATTTAGCCCAAACATTTTTTTTTTATTATTTTCTTTAAAATAACACAACATGTCATGGAGGATTGGGATCCCTTAAATTAAAGAAAAACTTGTATAAAAGTCATAGGATCAAATAATGCTTTAAAAGTGTAAAATTTGTTTTATTTTAAAAATAAAACAAATATAAGTGATAAAAGATGCAAAATTATTCTGACATTTGTTAAAAACAAGTTGTGCTAATAGAATCTAAATGCTAAATATAGAGTTCTAAACCAAAAAGTTTTGTAAAATTCCTTAAATTTTTTTTTTTTTTTTGGAAAGGATATTTTCAATGATAAAATTAACTTTTTTCGTACTAAAATAAAAAAAAAAATTTAAATTGCTAATGTTCATTTTGCAAGTACTCATTCTGAAATATAGTATTTTGTAACTTAAATTTTAAAATTATGCTTTTTTGCTACATGCAAAATTAGCGCTTTTGGATGTAGCGTTTTTGAAATGAGCGCTTTTACTAAAAGACATGAAGTCTATTATAAAAATTTGTTTGCTAAATATAGAAAAATAGAAATGTAAAAATAAAACATCTTTATGTACCAAAATGTTTGTAATTAAATGTTATTTTCAGAATCACAAAATATTAACAATATAAAAATTTACTTTTTAAAACAATGATAAAAAATAAAAGTTTATGTCAAAATGCTTGCAGAACAGTCGCTTTTGGGGAAAACTTATAAAGCAAGTCATTATAAATATGTTTAGTTATGTTTTATGAACCAAAAATGTTTGATTAACCAAGTAACTAAGTGCTTTTTATTTATTGATATTCAAGTGTCAAATGGGTATAAAAATTTAAATAAATAAATAACGGTATTCATTATATATACTTCTAAAATGTCATTAAATGGTTTTGAAGGTTGTCCATGTATCTATGTTGGTCCATTCGACTATTGTAAAACATGTGTAGACCTGGGGCATCATATCTAATGCAGCCCCAAATACCAACTGCACCACCTCTATCTTGTAGGTACACTACCTTGTGTGTACACTCATACTTTAATTGTAGTGACTACAAAAATTAATTTGTTTTTATGATTTAGGACAGTGTAGTTAGATTCATCACTAAAAACAATTTTTCTTAATTCATAGTTACTCATTTTTAAAATTGCTTTGCAAAATTTAATTTGTTTTAAAAGGTCTGGTGGTTTTAATAATGGTTTTCTGAAAGCAACATAGCACCACAGTTTACAGTCTATTAATCTTTTATTAACTGCTTGTCTCGATATTTGATTTTTAAAATTAACTTATTAACTTATTATTAAATAAACTTTTAAAATACTACCTATTAATTTAAATACATTTTTTGTAATATTTCATGAAAAAGGAGAGTTTAATTTACTATGGTGAAATTTTCTCCACAATAAATTTAAAATAAAAGCTCTTCTTTAAAGCATTAAGGAGAGCTAGCATGCTAAACTTATATACACACACACAAACATACCATAAATATGTATAGACAATTAAAAAATAATTAATCAACATTTTATTTATTTAAACAAAAAATAATAGCATTTTATTTTTGTTATGTATAACAGTTTAATAAATGTTTTCGGAACTGTTGCAAGTCTTCTTTTCACAAGTCGTAATTACTGAATTAAAATTTTTATTTTTTGTATAGCACCTTATGGAAGGTGAATTTTTGCATATGTAAATTCTGTAATAGCATTTAAAATACGGTAGATAAAGATGCAAATTTTTTTTTGATATTTCGGCAAATAACCCTCCCCAAATACTAGTTTATTTCTTCTTTTTTTAATATTTTTTTTTTGAGATTTTGTGAAAAGAAGTAATACAAGTAAATTAGATACAAAAAATAACTTTGATAATAATGACTATATCTTTTATTTAATTGCAAAAGTTTATAAATGCATCAAATACTCTTAAAAACTAATCTTCTTTAAAAAAAATATGAAGGAAAATTCCCTTGAAAGTCTGTAAATTGTTTCTAATAATGTAACGTATTGATATCTGTTATAAATTGATGTGTAATAATTTTATAATTTATCATTATGATTAAATGTCAATTTTATATATCCGATCTGATTATGTTATAGATCTGATAACATATAATAATGTGTGTAAATTTGATCATCAATTTTGTTTTAGAGAGCAAGTTTATCAAAGGAACCATTAACCAGAACTAAATCGGCTCCTACAACGCGTCCTCATGGTTAGATATTTTTAAGACTTACATTTTTTTTTTCTTTTTTTTTTTTTTGCGATAACTAAAAATAATTTTTAGATAAATTGATTATTTATTTTAGATAAACAATATGAATTTATTTTAAAATATAAAGTTCTTTTTAATTTATTTTTAATTCCTGCATTTTCATTTTATATTATTCATTTTTTATAAAAAATTAAAAAATATTTAACGAATAAGTTAGCACTTAAACTAAAATTAAAACTTTAAGCCATGTTTAGCACATAGATGCTAGCAGTGTAAATGATGATGGTAGCATGTAGATTTTCAATGTTATCTACATGCAAAAGCACAACAAATATATTTTCACTTTCAAAAAATTAAAAGGATTGTTTATATATATATATATATATATATATATATATATATATATATATATATATATATATATATATATATATATATATATATATATTAAAAATATTATTGAAGCTTATTTATTTTAAAATTAATTAATTTGTTTGATTGACTTCTATTTCAAAATGTAATTGAAAACATGAAAGATGTAATTAAGAAATAACAATATGTAATTGAGAAATTTATCATGTAAGTAATAAATTGTAATACGTAATTAAGAAACTCAACAATGTAGGCTTCAACAATGTTAGATAATGTTTTACATTGTCCACAATTATACAAACAGTAAAATGTAGACTTGTCTGGTCCAAAATTAAAAGTAATGCTAAAAATGTGAATCTCATTCTACCTGTGAATTGGTGCTGGGATTTTGGAAGTAATGGTTAAATTTTTAGAAAAATTTGTTACTGTGATAAAAAATTAAAATATGAAATTTTACAGATGCTGCTTAACACTCATTCTTTTTTTTTAATGTCCCTGGTACCACTTATTAGAGAAACTTATTCAAATCATTTTTGCAATGATTTGAATAAGTTTCTCTAATGATAATTTCTTATTTAAGTATGACATCTGTTTTGCAGGTCAGGACTTTTGTTGTACAAATATAATAAATAGTTGAAGATTACTTAAAATAAGTATGTTTTATTAAATTTATGGTCTTTGAGTAATGTGCTAGAAAACAGTTTTCTTAGCTATAATTCTTATAGGGCAACAAGACATGGAAGCTATAAACAAAAGCCTTGAGAGTATAGGTCTAAGTATGACTAACCACGCATTAGAAGGTTTGTTACTCCGAATTTTTATTTAATCTGAATTTATTCAATATTTACATAACCAAGTATTGATTTTTTTTTTAATTTTTTATTTGCAACAAATAGATTTTATTATAGTTATTATTATTTTTAGATGCGTCAGAGAAAGTAGATGAATTGTATTGATTATTTTTTGGTTTATCTGCTTGGCAGGAACAAATATGTTAATATCATTTGTTGTCAGGAACGACAAATCCTGATCACGCCCGGAGCAGTGTCAGTGTATATTGAGAAGCATTTTCGTTAAAAGATTTTTACGTTTATTAATTTTTAAAGCATCTTTGAGAGAGACTTTTTGAAGTTTATTTGTTCAAACTACTTTATAAAGACTCCCAGTGGGAAGATAACGTGAATGAAATTCCTAGTGGGTAAATGACGTGTATAAATTCCCAGTGGGAACTTACTAAATTATATTACCAATGAGGGAACATCGTGTTAAAACGATACTCCGTGGGAGTCATGTAATAAACATTTTGTGTTTAGAATTAGTCGTTCTATGAATTTCCTTTGTACGATTTTATTTTTTATTCTTTTCTTCAGCTTTTCTTTCTGCTTTGTAAAAATGAGTAGCAGTTTATGTTAAAAATTATCTATTGACTAGTATACATGAACCTTAGTATACGTTATTGTTGGATAGTTTTCGAAATTTATTTAGTAATTTAAAAAGCGGTATTTTTCTGCAACAAATCTTTATAAAAATGAAACCAAAAATCATCGAAAAAAGGTTTTTTCATTATTTTAGATTCTTCAATAAAGTACTAGCTCTTCATTTTTTGTATAGTAGCTGGCCTGCTTGCAAAGTTTAGACAAGTCTTTATTTGATGATTATTATTTGTTTAGCTTGTAAATTTATTTTATCTGGCAAAACAAAAACGTTTTCAAGTTAAATTTGTGTTTTTTGTAACAAATTCCCTTTGTCCTTTTTTTTTATTATTAATCGCAAAAAAATTTACTACAAAGTTTTTTACTAATATTTGATTGGTTTTTAATAGATAAGATTGTACAATATTTAAAATTACACTAGCTTTAAAATTATACACTATTTTAGCTGGGACTACGAGACAATTTTAACTTTAAAATTCCACACTATTTTAGCTGGTAAAATAGACTTATTTTTGAAATTGCACACTTTGGTAGAAAAAAAAAGTGACTGTGCTGGTTTTAATAAAGGGCCTTTTGAAACAATTATAAAGCTTATAAAATTTAATCTAATAGTGTCAAACCAAAAAAATGTGTTCGAAATTAAAAAATTTTTTTCGGTTTCAAAGTAGTATTAAAGGAAACATATTTGAAAGATTAGAGGCTTTAATATAGTGTTTTTTCCGGGAGTTCCGGAAATTCACTTAAAAATGCTTTAATTTTCCAGAAATTTTCGGATGTTTTTTTATTAATTTGTTTAAAAAAATTAACAAATTTTTACATAAAATTTTAAAAACGACAACTTTTGCATTTAAACAAATATAGTTAAAATTTTCAGGAGATCAATTTTCGTATTTTTTTTTTTTTTTTTTTTGCTTTTTAATTTATTCAAGTTAACTTTTTTGAATATTAGAAGTTCTATTTTGTAAAAAGTTAAATAATCTAAATTCCGTTTTACGAAAGTTTTTGTTTTCAGTTAATATGATCAATTTTTAATAAAATAATTTTCCGGGATTTTCATAAAGTCAAATACTCATCTATGCTTTAAAAGTCAAAATGAATGAATATTTTTGCTTGTAAAGAAGAGTGATTTTTTGTGGTGATTTAGTAAATAAATCAATTCTTTAAATAAAGAAAACTTATGAATTTGTTCATGTTATTATTATTGAAAGGAATATTGATATTGACCCTATTTCTACAATTATAAAGGTTGTTGTGGATAATTAATAAAATTAGCAACTAAACTAACCTCGGTGATGTTAAACGTTATTTTATTGTTGCTAGGCAGTATCAAATCTCAATCGAAATCTCAGGAGTTAAAGGAGATTCAAACACAGAAAAGTTTCATTTTTCTTGAGTTGCATACATTTATTGGAGTAGTTACAACTTTTATTTTTTAAATATTAATACAACTTTATTTTTTAACTATGGTTTTGCTTTGAACAGTTGTTAAACTAAAATTATAAATTTTTTTTAGAGGTTACTATGGCATTTATTTGATGGCAACGATGCAAATAGACTTTTAGATAAACTAGATGTTTAGGCTAGTGATCAATGCTTGCTAATCTATGAAAAATTGATTTCCAATAATTGAATGTTAAAGAAAATTTCAATGTACATTTGGAGGACAAATAAAAGTATGGTATTGAATCTGCTATAGATGGAAGTTTATTAAGCCGCAAACTACAAAGCAATTTCAAGTCATCTCGGGAGTACGCTTGAAACCGGCAAAAAAAAAAAAAAGAAAAAAAATTAAAAAAAAAAAAAATGAAGGGTTGCCCTGAGGGCCAATTTTCAAGGGGTAAAAACTTAAAAATTGTCCATTTTTGTGGCAAAAATATTTTAAAATGCAGAAGATCACATAGAATAAAATTTTGCATTTAGCTAGCTTGATGTTAGAGGTATACAATGAACCTCAAAAAATTATAACTTACTTATTCCTTAGGGTTGTGCTTTATTTCTTTAAAGGATGGAAAAAAAAAGCTATTTTTAACTCATCATAATGACCAAAAAATCGTTATATTTTATTTTTAACACATACATTTGTATAATTTTGAGGTTCATTGCACAACTTGATACATAGTCAACAAACTGTCCAAATATGATAAGTTTTGGTTTCTGAAATATCCTTGCCTCAGTAAAGCAAAGTTAGTACAATATTGATATCTCATAAAAAAACGTTTTAAAAAAATATTTATAGAAATTCTAGTTATAATAATGATTATATTTGTCTTAAACCTTTTTATCTATTAAATATTACACTATAGACTATGATTAAACATTAGATGCAACTTTATTCATAAAAAACTAGTTTCATAAATTGATAATCTATCCCTGTTGTACGCATATTATATACCCTGTCATACGCATACCATTTAACTACCAATGTCAAAGCCTTTTGTTTCTAATCTTTCTTTAAAGTTCAGAGCCATTTAATCAAAAATTGCATACTACAACTTAAGTTCAAAAACAAACCCTAACTTCTAATTTTGATTTAGCTTTATTGAATGTGCACATGTGCATACATAGCATATACAGACATAAACGAATGTTAAAAATCTCAGCCAACAATATCATCTTAACTATTCCCTGTAATATTTTTTATAAAACAGTCAATAATAAATTCAACCTTTGAACCATTAAACTTCTAATCAGAAACTGTTTTGCGCTGTTATCTTTAAATATAACTTCGGAGCTATAAGTAAAACTTTTAAGTCGAATAAAAGAGTGTTAGCTAGTATGAGACGTCATACTTTTTCGTCATTTAGAAGTTTGCTAGATGGTTTTCCGCTTCAGTTTGTATATATATTAAACTTGTTAGATATGCTGTATAAATAAATATATACAAATAGCTAAAACAAGACAATCTTTTAAAGTAAAACAAATTGTTATAAGACTAAAAATTAAATATATATTCAAACCAGTTTAGGCAAAATTGTTAATCAGTATGCATAATCAGTAAGTCAACTATAAGAACCACGTGATTTCTCAACATTATGTCTGTTGTACAAACAAAAAGCTATTTGCAAAAACAAAAATCTAAAATTAACTTTAAAATAGTGCTAAAAAAAGTTAAAATAAGTACTCAAAAACGGTTGCTATGTGCGTAGCTAGAGGAGTTAAAATAACAGTAATCTAAATAAATGAAATTTTGACCAATTTTAGTATCTATTTGAAAAAAATAAATATCACCAACAGTTTCTTTGATAAATTTGAGTTAAGTTGAGTGTATTTTTGAAAAAATATTTTTTTAAACAATTTACACTTTTTAATGGCCCCCTTAAAAAGACAACTAAAACAATTTTTATAAATCAAAAAAAAATGTTTTCTAAATTACTTAAGCCTAAAGTTTTATATCATAATTCCATTATGCTACTAAGAGGTTGTATATTAATGATGTCAGTGATTTTTCTCAATTTTTTGAACCCCTTCTTCCCCCTTTTTCAAACTCTGTCAATTTTTGACCCAATTCCCCCTTATATACGATATCAGTTTTGTACCCCCCCCCCTCACTCTTAAAGTAAACTTAAAAATATGTGTAAATACCATTGATTTTTTTCTGGTTAAATTATACATTTATATAGTAGTAGATCTTAGCAAGTTACGTTATAGAACAGTTAATACCTCATCAAACTAACTAATCAAAATTTTATTCTGTATCTATAATATAAATTCAACTCTCATGAACTTTCCATGGATTGTTGAAGTGATTTTCGATAATAATGACAATTGACTTTATGTGTTTGCTTTGAATGCACATTTTATAATCCGCAAGGGAGCAAATAACGGTTGTTAAATTTATATAAATTATTGATATGTGTGAACAATTAGATTTTCAGTAAAACGGTAATACAATAATAAAACGTTGGTTTTATTTTTTTTATTTATTTAATGTCTCTGAGAAACTTACATCGAATTCCCCACAAAGCAAATATGCCGTTTTAATACCACATTGTAGATATAAATACCTTTAAAATCTGCTCATATAAACTTAATTTTTTTTAAAATTGACTTCATTTTGGACTCAACGCCCCCCTCCTCATGCTCAATTTTTGTCAAACTTCTTAGTACCCCTTCCCCTATATTTACTGACATCATTTACGGATGGCCCCTAATACTTTATTCATTTAATATAAAGTTTAAGTAAAAGTTATTTGCCATTTCGTTGTCGTCATTTTTAATGTTTATAATTGAGTATTCTTACCTGTTTACTTAAATATTATAAACAGTAAAAATACTATATTTTTAAATTACTATGAACGTATCTATTTGCGTCAACGTATAAAAATTAGGCGTTTAAGTATAGTCTTGGTGTCGTTTTCTTTTACAAAGCAAAAGGTTACAGTCCCGAAGCATTTCAAAGCGGTTAAACTTCCATCTGTTTTATACTTTCATGGTTTAACACGTTGTTATAGGTCAGAAGGCGGCCAATTGTTGAAATTTTGTTCGCGTTATAATTTTTAGCGTCATTTTAATAACTTACAAAATAAACTGATATTTTTGCTTTGCTAAGTTCTTGCAGTAAACATTTTTTTACCCGTAAAAAACTAAATTTTAGGAAATACAAGTGCTTTTTATTGTAATTAAGAATATCTCGTGTATTTAAAAATATTTTAATTGATATGTAATAAAAACTTTTTCTTAAAAATAACTTTGATGTCAAATATTTTTTTGGTGTAAAAATACAATGCGTGATAAACTAAAATGAATGATGTAAAGTGTAAAAATAGTAAGTTTAAAGAATTTACTACTTAGTCATTTTATAGAATTTTATTAGATCAAACTAGATTTTGTTTGAAATCACTACTCCCTAAATTAGATTTAACCAATCTCTAAATAATTTAAATTTTCGGTAACTGAATATTTTTTTTCGTATAGAGTTCTAGATTAATTATATATTTTAAAAACTAATATTCAAAGGGTAATGAATATATGGAGTATTTTTTAACAAAATAAAAAAATATATTAATTTATTATATTACTTTTCTTAATTGGATATTTGATTCAATCGCCATTATGACGTAAATCATATAAAAGTATTCCTACTTGACGCAACTATTGTTTTGCTGGTGTTATTTATAACATTTGATAGCGTGGATATCTTTGATTTTAATCTATTATTATGTCATTGCTTTAATAGAGTTAACCGCTCCCCACTCCCCTTTACCTCTTCCATTTTTTTATTAAAGTCTGATGTGTGATGTGATGAAATGTGTGGATTTTTCATTTCATTCGTTTCTATAAAGGCT